CCTTGGGGGGGGGGGGTGTTATGTACACAACACATTTTTTGCTCTGTCATGTACTGCAACTGTGTGTTTGTTTGCACAAGCAGGATTTCTGGACGCTTTAAAAGTCTTTCTTGTGCATTACAGTAAAACTCCTCGGGGACTTCAAAAGTGCTTCTGGAGGTAGCAGGATTACAGCAAAGAGCATACCCCCGCTCCCCAACCAAGTCCCTTATGCACAGCAGTTTACAATGCATCTGAGCCTCTAGGGCAGGGAAGACAGGGGTCTTCCAGTCCCCCCACCCCAAAGATTCCTCATTAGTGCCTTCTTTGAGGGGTCTAACTGGGAAAACCCAGCAGAAACAGCTTAGCTTGGTGGGTGGAAGGTGCTGCAAGCCCACCCACGATCCGCAGGGAAGGGACAGCTAACTAGCAGCAGGGCAGGGCTCCTCCACAGACCTGAGCCATGACGACCATGGGTCGGGGGCTGAGGGGAGAGCTCCATCTCTAGGGCTTGTTCTGGGGATGCTGGTCCCCTCTGCCACGTTGCTGGGAGATGCCCAGTCACCAGGACAACCAGGCAACATATCTGCGACCCCCAAGTAGATGCCAAGGGCTGGGCAAAGTTCCAGGCCTGGGACTGAAAATCCAGCAGTGTCCAGGTGCCTGTCTCCAAGATGAGCTGCCCGCAGCAGCCTGTGGGCACTGCCCTCATTGCCAACACCCAGGTGGACAGGTCTGAATGCCGGGGAAGTCAGTCGTGTGAGTCCAGCCGCTGCCTGACATCCTCTCCCAGCAGTGGTCACCATCAGCGGGATGGGGAAAGGGGGCTTCCTGCCTCCTCTGACTCCGCAGGGCTGGGGGAAGCTGTGGCCCTCCAGTGCCCATCGTTCAGACACTCTTGAAGCAGCTCCAGCTCCTCAGTGAGGCCGGCAAGCGTTGGGGGGAAGAGGCCGTGCTGAGCAGGGGGGAAAGGAAGCAGAGGCATGGGGTCAGGGCAGGCATCTGGGGTACTGGCTGGCTTAGCGCCATCAGCTAGTGCATGGAGAGGCTGGAACAGCCAGAGCCCAGATCCAACTCCCTGCGCACCTGACAAGGGCCAGCCCGATTTATCCCTCATTGGGCTGCACCCAGGGGCTGATGAAAAACATTGCTGCAGCGCGCTCAGTGCTGTACATAGCCCCCATCCTGAAGATGCTGCAGGGGAATGTGGGGAGTCCCACTGGATACTAAGGCTTCCAGGCTCCCTTCTCCACCATTCCCCTCTCCACCCTAGATCCAGCCCCCTGGCCCACACCACCCTGTTGCAATGAGGGCAAATGGTTTGAATCAACACAGAGGGGCAAAGGGACTTGACTGAGGTTACAGGAGGTGGCAGTGGCAGAGCACCGCCCTCATCGAGCTGCCCCGAGTCCAGCCTGGCTCTCACCTGCTGCTCGGGGCTCCCACGGAGGTAGCATCGTCTCCAGAGCTGGATTGCCGGCCCCATGCAGACTGGCACCAGGACCTCCCCAAGCAAGGCAGGGCAGCTGCTGGGTGAGCCCCGCTGGTCGCTGAGGCTGTCCGAAGATGGCACACGCCACGGGCCCTTCTTGACGAGCGAGCCGTTCTTCCAAGGGAAGAGGTGGGGCTGCGGGGCCAGGGCCCCCCGGGCCAGGAGGAACACAGCCCCAGTCTCAGACAGGGTGGCTTTCAGCTGGAGAGAAGCAGGAGGTGGGCTGGGGCTTTGGGAAGGGGGATGGGGCATAGCAGGGAGCAAAGACACAGCAGGGCTAGAGGGGACTCAAGGCTGGACTCCTGGGTTCCTTTCCCATCCCAACCAGGAGGAAGGCCAAGTTGTCCAGCTCCTTGTCCCTTGTGCTGTGATCATTAGGTTGCCTGCCCGCCCACACAGCCCCCACCCAGAGCTGTCTGTAGTGCCCAGCCCCACCCCACACAGAGGCAACTGCACTCACTTTGCTGCAGCCCAGTGGGGCCGTGTGCCCATCACTGGCCGTAGTGTAGACGGTGTTCTGGAACTGCGCCCGCTGCTGGGCACTGTAGTGCAGTGCCCAGGCCCAGACGGAGGGCAGGCAGGCACCCCCTCCCGCCAGGGCTGTGCAGCTGGCCTGTGGCAGGATCTTCAGGTTGGGGGCGTCCCGCCAGCCATTGACGGGTGTGTACAGCTGACCAGAGGCCCGGTGCTGGGGGGGCAGACAGAGGGGGTGAGAAGAGCACACACAGTCCTTCCCATCAGCCCATAGAGCCCAGAGCTGCTCCCCACTGCTGACCCTTTAAGGGAAACATCATGTTACCCAGCTCTCCCAGCAGCAGGGGGCAGAACCCCTGTGGGACGAGCAGGGAAACTGAGGCACAAAGCAGTCAGGGGTAGAAGAACCCAGAAGCCCCAGTCCCCTGTTCCAACCCTACTTTTCTCCCAGGAAGCCCAGGTGTCCTCACTCCCATCCCTGGCTTGAACCAGAGGACCCCAATCCCTGCCTGCAGCTGAGCAGAGAACCCAGGAATCCCCGTCCCCATCCCCTGACCCCATGGCCCTACTCACCTCCCGCAGCCGAGGACAGAACCAAGGAGTCCCGACTCCAACCCCTAGACCTGACTCCCCTCCCAAGGCAGAGCAGAGCCAGCTCCCAGGCCCATCCTGAACCCCAGGACTCACCTGGCCCCTACGGCTCCGTTCCCACTGGCAGCTGAAGAGGAAGGTGCTGAAGAAAGGCACGTAGCTGCTGTCGTGCAGGGCCAGGAGATAGGCCTCGGTGAAGGCAAAGGCGGCTGGGAACTGCCGCAGCAGCTGCCAGGTGCAGTCCAGAAAGAGCTGAAACACCGGAGCCTGCGGAGAGGGGTTAAGCCCCAATGAGCTGACAGCGAAATGCAACCGCTTCTGGGGTGGAACACGGCAACATATGGATGGCCCCAATGGAGGGAGGAGGGCGGGGGTCAGCTGCCACGGCAATGCAGCTGCCTCTGGGGTAGAACACAGCAGCTGGGGACGAGGACAAGTCAAGTGGGGCTAGGATGGGGTCCAAGCCCCAAATCCCAGGGGTCTTCTGGGTCCCTGCCTCACCCAGCCAGCTCCACCCCCTGCCCCCAGCTCCAAGCCCAGGGCACCTGGGAGCCAGTGGGAACAGGCTCCATGATGCCCCCTGCTGGTTGCCCCTGGGCTCACCTCGCCTCGGTCACCGTCCCGGCAGAGGTTGAGGCGCTGGGCGAAGGGATGTCCGGCCGCCACCCACTCCCGCTGCACCAGGTTCTGGAAGCCCAGCTGGGTGCGAGTGTGGGGGTCGGCCAGCAGCTGCACCAGCGAGGCCACCAGGCAGTTGAGGTCTCGGTCGTCCGACTCTGTGGGGGCAGCACGGGGTGAGGGGGGGGGCTGGGCAGCATGGCCTGGGGACCCCGGCGAGCAGTGGGGGAGTCTCTACCTTGTAGCACAACAGAGCAGCGCCTCTCTGCCAGCAGCGCAGCCACATCGCTAGCCTTCCTCACGCAAGCCCTGCAAGGGGATGGGGTGGCTAGCACAGCTGGGGGCACCAGGGGGTGGAAAACTAGGGTCGTGGCCACATGCGAGCCTGGCCTGGGCGCTAGGAGAGGACATCTTGGGGGCAGGGAGGGACAGCTCTCACCTGACATGGTCCAGCCAGTGGGTCCCCTCCAGCGCAGACAGCCACTTCTCGTCGGCCACAGCAGGGTCTGGAAGGCAGCCAGGCAGGGGGACAGAGATGGACTCCTCCAGCAGCCACCCCAGCCATGAGTGGGAATGACCCTCCCCACTCCACAGGTGGCAGCAGCGGGGTAAGAGAACATGACCAAGTCCCGCAAGGGGGTCTGTGGCGGGGAAGGAGCAGAGCGACACCAGGTCTCCCGAGTCCCATCTACCCTTTGCAGAGATGGATGAGACCTGCTTGAGCAGGGAAACTGAGGCAGGAAGCCAGCTCCTGGCTCAGCCAACAACTGTGGAAGAAGAGCCCGGCTCTCTTAGCTCCTAGGAGAGACACAGGGCAGGGGAAGCTCCTCACCGAGCAGGCAGAGGGTGTGGAGCCGCACATGGGCCAACTGGATCTCAGTGGGGCTGGGCAAGTCGGCCACCGTGTCCACGACCACGCATCGCGCATGCCCAGCCAGCAGCAGTGCCTCCACCGCCCTGCAAAGACACATGGGGCATAAGATAGGCGCCACTGGCCCCCCTAAGCCAGGCTGGGGCCTCAGCATGGCATCCCACCCCCACCATCACAGCCCATATCCCCACTTCTGTGGCTCCTACCTCGTGTCCTCCTTCTCGGGGTCCGAGGCAGCATGGAAGCTCGCAGCGCGCAGCAGGTCACTGCCCCCGGGGTGCCGCCAGCAGAGCCTCTGCAGGGCAGGGCAGACACAGGGGGGCAAAATCCACGTCAAGCTGCTCCCCCCACCCCTGTATCCCCATCCCCTTCCTCCACCTCGAAGCCAGAGCTCTTCCCTCCCCACAGCTGGTTCAGGCTGGGGAGGGTCACCCTGGATGATGGGAGGGGGTCACTCACTGGGATGCGTCGCTGGTTGAAGTGGGCAAAGGCTCGTTTGAGTTCGTTGTCCAGCAGCTGGCCGGGCACCCAGAGGTACCGGGGCAGGCTATGGGAACGACGCGGGGAAGACAGCTCAGACCCTCCCCACAACCCCCCTGCAACCCTCTATCCCAGGATTCGGCCTTCAGGATCCTCCTTCCCCCCCAAGAGTTTGATCTCAGCCCGGTCCCACCCCAACCTGGCTTTCCGGGCACTTTAAGCCCATCACAGCACAGAACCCCCGAGCATCCAGGGCAGAAGCAAAAGCAAAAGCTTTCCATTGCCCCCACAAGTCTCAGTCCCCAGGTCTAGGAACAAGGGCTGTGGAGAACAGGAAACCCAGGCATCTGGTCCCTCCAGTGCCCTGGACCCCTTAGGGATTTGGGGAGGTCTCCTGCATTTTCTAGTGGAGACGGGGCGAGGGGGGTGAGAAAGATCCTGCCTGCCCCACACCCCCGCTCACCTGGTGGCCATGTCAAAGCGCTCATTGGCCACACTGACCCGCCAGCCTGCGGGCCCCAGGCGCCGCAGCTCCTGCTCCCAGTCCTGGAGGCTCTCGAAGAGCAGCGTGGGCACCGGATCTTCCTCCTTCTCCTCGGGGCTCCGCTGGGCGTTCTCTGCAAGCCGGAGCCCCATCAGCATGGTGCCCACGGGGTCCACTGCCCTCCCGGCCAGGCACAGGATCACTTACCCAGGTTCCTCAGCTGGGTGGGGTCAGACCAGGCTGCCATGTCCCTGTCACTCTCCTGGGCCCGAGCGATGGCCATCGTCACCTGGGAGGCAGCAGCCATGAGCAGGGCTGGGGCAGGGCTACCAGGAGCATCTTTTCCCCCTGGGCAGCATCCCATGCCCCCTGGCTCCAAGTCTGAGCACTGCTGAGGGGAGTTGGGGGTCCTGGCACAGACCAAATCCCCCGGTCCTTTGTGATTCAGGCACTGGGATGATTTCAAAGACATTTGGGCTGGAAGGGACCCCGAAGGATCACTGAGTCCAGACCCCTGCCCCAGGGGCAGGAAGTCAGCAGGGACCTTAGGATCCCAGCAAGATAAGCATCCAAATGTGCCTTGAAAGCGTTCAAAGTGGGTGCTTGAACCACCTCTTGCGGCAGTCTGTTCCAGACCTTGGGGGCTCGGACAGTGAAGAAGTTCTTCCTTATGTCCAGCCTGAAACGGTCTTGCA